TCTAGTTGCAGATGTCCCTTCAACTTAGGGGGTTTTGGACTAGATGACCTTTAAAGGTCCCTTCCAACCCAAACTGTTTTATAATTCTATGATATACACACACACACAATATATCTATTTTTTTCCCCTAACAGCCCCAGCCCCAGATGACCCCTCCACAGGATCGGAGCCACCCCGGCCCCGGGCAGCCCCAGCACGTCCCACGGGCGGCAGCGCAGTGGGGGAGCAGTGGCACAGCTCCGCTGCTGGCCCCTGGCCCGCCGGTGGGAAGCCGGGGAGAAAGGCGAGGAGGTCTGTCTGCCCGAGCGGTGACCGATGCCGTTGGCACTGTGTGTGCCAGAGGGTGAGGGGGCTTCCCAGAGTAGCTCCCCCAAGTGCAGGGAGAAATTTCAACAGAGCCGCTGCTGATGGGGTGCTGGGGAGGGGGCTGCACTGAAACAGAAGTTTCATCCTCGGTGCTGCTTCGATTCTTAAACTTCTCCATCACCCACATGAAAGCAGATGCCACAGAAGCGCCTTTAAAGTTGCATCTTCTAGCACAGCAGGGTAGACCGAAGATGATGTGCGACTTGGCTTTTTCTTTCCTTAAAGGCAGTCATTCTGATTTCTCCTTTTTCTTTTCATGCTGAGTGAATACCGCCTAGGCAGCACGCAGCCCGAGCACAGGAGGTTTTGTGAAGTAGTTTCCAGAAAATATAAAGCATGGCAGGATCCCCCCACCAACCCACCTGAAAGAACCCAAAATCGGGAGCGCATTGGAGAAGGGAATTTCAGCTCTCTGACCGAGATGCGGATGTAGCGCAGCGCCCAGGGTCGTGCTACGCGGGGGTGATGCAGGGGTCTGCGTGTGAGGGCTGGGGAGCAGGCTTGCGCGTCCAGTTTGGGGTGCGCAGCCTCGCACCTCCGCAGCTGTAGCTACGCCGGTGGGGAGCTGTCCCTGGGAAGGTGGGTTAAGTTGCAAGCTCAGGGTCTGGGGGTCGCTTTTTTCCCTTCTCCAAACCTCTCTCCACCTCCAGGCGGGCTGGGGTGGTTGGTGAAATGCCCTTTTGAGGGCGGGGTGAAGGTGCCGTGTTGGCGCTGAGGGTGCAGCGTGGCTGACCCTGAGCACGGCCCGACGGCCCCGTTCTGGCCACCTCCAGCAGGGATGGGAGGTGGGTGGTGGGTGGTGGGTGAGCTGTGCCACCGGCACACTGGGGTTAACAACTCTTGCAGCATCCTCAGTTTCAGCGGAGGCTTTCAAACTGAGCTGCGACTGCAACGTCCCTCTGAGTAGTTTGAGTGTTGGGGTTTTTTTTGTTTTTACTTCTTGGTCCTGTCTTCTCCCACCTTCCTGGAAGACTGGTGGGAAGAGGAGAATTGCACCTGCCCGGGGGCTGGACTGCAGTTTCTACAGGGGGGCACCCAGAGCTTCAGAAGTGATGCCCGTAACTGTCACTCAGAAGCCTATTTTTATTTAATAATTAATAAGGAAACACAGAGCTGTGTGTTGGACTTGCATGCTCTTCCAAATATAATCTGTTTTCTCTAGATTGCACCTTGCATCTCTAGGTGTGGGCTGTTTACCCTGGGGTATTGATTGCTGATGATTGAATTTGATTTACCAGATGAGACCAAGCAGAAAGAATTTTTTTTTTTTTTGATGTAACTGCATTCTCTGGTAGTAACTGAATTTAACAAAGTGGAAAACAACATCAAAAAAATGTGTTGCAATTATTTTCCTTACCTCAAGGAGCTTATGTAAAACCAATACAAAATAAGAATAAAAGTTGTTTAGGTCTCATTAGGAAAATGTACCCTTTTAAAGGAATGTATAGCTGTTGCTTTGTTTTTTCCCTTTTTTCCCTAGTTTAATGTCTGTGTAGCTGGGCGGTTATATGCTCCTTCTAATTTTTGTCCTAAAGTCTCACCATCTTTAAAAGCTTTCAGGATTTTATGCTGAAATAGGTTAGTCGTCCAACGGAGTAGGAACCTGCTGGGTTTAATGCTTGGGATCCAGTACGTATTTATGAACGAACACTTAAGGAGCCACTTAACCCTTCCCGTTTCCATCACCTTCTTGCTGCACGCTTGCTTATGTTCATGCAATTAGACACACAACATGCTAATCAGTTCCAACTAACTGGAAGGGAAAAAGAAAAGACCAATTTTGTTTTGAATTGTCTTAAAATTTGACATTCTGTTTAGCTGCTTCTCTGAGCACGGTAGCAATTCTTCCTGGTAAATCAATAGTGCGGAAAAGGCGTAGTTCAGGCTCCTTGCAACATGCAACAATACTGAATCAGTTGGCAGCTTCACTCCACCCCAAAAACCCCCAGAGTATTGAACTAAAAATATTCTACTTTCTGTAGTCGAGTGGGCTGGTGTATAAACATAGCAGTGGCTACAAATCTGTCTGTTCTAACAAGGTCTAGCTGTAGGAAATTTTTTTTTTTTCTCTCTTGCTTCCCAAGATAATCACATCATTGTGCAGCCCAGGATTCATTTTTGCTCTTAAAAGATTACATAGCTGGGTCAGAGTTAATCCAGAAATGTATATGTAAAGCACCAGGCACGATTACATTCATGTTCAGTCCGAGTGATTTGCGGATTTCTTTTTTCTCTCTTTTTTTTTTTTTATTTAATTGTTGTCTCAGACGAAGAAATTTCAGCAGAGTGATGGTAGCCTTTCTTCAGCTGCCTTGATAGCAATAATCATCTCTGAAATAAGGCTTAAGGGGGATTAATTCCAAAGTCAATTTGCCGCTATCATTCTGGCCATCGAGTGTGTCGGCGGTGCATAGAGCCAGCGCGGGGGCCAGGCTATGGCTTGGTTGGGGAAAACGACAGGGGAGTATGTCAGCTGCTAAAAAAAACTGTTTTCTGGCTTTTTAGACCTTTCCCTTTCTACACTTGAAGTTAAGCGTAGGGCCAGAAGAACTTGCCAGCTGTTTTGTTGAAGAAACTTTTAGGGGAGTGACTGGTGAGCCTCAAGGTAGCAGCTGTGCCGCAGGACGCGGCTGTCCCCGTCCACGGGCAGGGGAGCAGAGCAGCCAGCCGCCGCTCCCTGCCCGCGCTCCGCATCCCCGCGTGCTCCTGTCACGCTCCTTTCTGCAACCGCTCGGCCCGACCAGGTGACCTAGAGTTCCCTCTTCTGTGCACTTGTAAACAGAATTGGCTTTGGTTTTGGACTCTTAAAGATAACCCACAACAGAGGAGGCTTAATACCAAAATGCGCCCAGCTCTACAGTCATTTTAGGAGGGTCCGGTGCATCTGGTGAAGCGTCGGATCTGTGCCTGGGCTGGTGCCTCAGCAGGCTCTGCAGATGCTGTCCAGCAATTCCTCTGAAAGCTGCTCTAGGTGCCGGCGGATAATCCCCACCACCCTCCTGTCTCACTTGCCTCGAGCCTCTGTGCGGGGTTGTGGGTGTGATCGCTCCCGGTGGGTTTGTCTGTGCTGATGGATGCAGGTGAAAACCAGGCATGATGCCTAGCTCCAGCTCCCTCGGTGCAGTCAGCACCTGGGGTGGGGGCGGCATTTTTTCTGTATTAATGGAGAGACCTCCCACTCATCTCCTGCCACTGCTCCTCACCAGCGGGATGGTCATGGCAGTGCTTCCTCACTCCTGGGCCATGAAGATAACCCGGTAACGCGCACAGAGGTGCTCGCACACAAAGTTAGGAGAAGCTCATACATCACTTGGAGATTGGGAGGCTGAAATTGTTAGCTTTAGTGGTGCATCGTACCTTTGCAATGATACTTACCTACAGCATCCTTTCTGCTCCTTCATTTCCTCACAAGCTTCCCAACCTCTGCGGCACACGATGCCAGGGCTGTCTGCCACGCTGAGCAAATTGCCCGTGCTGTGTCCTGTAACTCAGCAGCAGCCAGGAGGATGGTCCTTGACAAGTCGCTTGGAGACCGAGGCTGGAGACTTGCTTCTTAGTGCCATCAGTTTCTCTTCTGATGGGCTGACTTGCTTCTACTTTGGGGCCTTAGGTCTGTCTGCATTTGAGACTTCCTTGGTCTCATTGTGTAGATAGTGTCTTCCAGGTTTGAGACAGCTTCCCTCAGACCCTACCAAGTCTGGCTTCTTTTTCATAGAAATGTGACTGAATTAGGCAAGAATTAGTCTTTGAAAAGCGTGAAATGCAACCTGGAGGCTAAGCCATGGTCAAGAGTTCACATTTCTGTCCCTTCTCCATGATATGGAAGAATATCTGCTCTGATGGAGTGTTCAGAAGGACCGGGAATCTTCCCAGTCATCTGCAGACACAGGAGTGGGAACATCCAGCAGCACACACAGATACAAAACTTACAAAACCTTGGTGTAAAGGTATATTAGCTGCTCTCTGACATTTTTACTGAATTGAATCCTGCGTCATCTATCCAAACACTGGCTGTGATTGAAGGGGGAATATTATTAGCCTGATATTGATTTTGAGCAGTGTAATTGAGACTGTATTTGAATGATATAATAATTTTATCGTTGCTAAGACATAGCGTAGGAGGTGCAATTACGACACCTGAAAAGGCCTCTGCTCCATTAGATTTATTCTGAATGTCTAATCTTGAGTGCTCTTCTCCAACTTCATTGTAACTTGTTTAAGAAAAAAACGTCAAAGTAATATAGAGTGGGATACTTCCACTGAAAATGGATGTTACTGCATGAGCTGCAACTGAGGACAAGGCGTCCTAGCTTGCTTTCAAACACTTGGCATTTATTTATATTTTGGTGGTAGGATGTCAGGCTGTGGCTTGTGAGGGAGAACTGTGGAATTAACCCCTCAGAAAATGCCTGTTGCCAAAGCAGGAGGTCATTTCAGGTTCATCCACCACCTCACGGCAGCAAAAGTTGCCAGGTTGTGATTCCCTTTTATCTGCGTGCTGACTGTGCTTTGGAGGACAATACAGCTGATCAAGTAAAGCACCCACGAAGTGTGCTTGGGAGGCTGAGAAGAGAGAGATCCACCACCTACATGGATCAGAAGGGGCCAAAAGAGACGTCAGGTTAGTGGGAACCATGTCGACATCCTGGGGAAGTAAACACGCTCCAGTGTTTGTGCAGCAGATGGTAAGTCCGTGTTAGAGTTGGACCTTGGGTGTTCACCGTGGTTTAAGGCTTTCATCAGATTGAGGAGATGCTTCAGGATGACCCCGGGAATTCATATGAAGATGATTTTGCTTTGGGCAGGGACCACTCCTATTTTCAAGACTGCTAATCCCTGACAGCCTCAAGCAATGAGGTCCCAATGATTTATAGCAAGTTCCTGGGTGTCTCCTTTGTGTTTTTCACATGAAGATAAAGAGGAGGAGATGGAAATGAATCCAGTGTGTTTTCTGTGAGCTGCTGTTAGGTTTACTTGTGCAAAGAGTGGTGTGAAGTTTCAGTTATGGAGATCATCTTCATTGTTGTCCTCAAGTTCCAGGCATCCCTCCTGTAGGTAGTGGCAGTACTCCCATACCCTGTCTTGCTTTGGTATGGAGAGAAATGGATGTCTTGATCCAGGAAGCTCTCTGTGGGCCCCTTTAATCTTCCAAATCAAGCAAAATCCCTACCCTGAAAACCTATGTTTTTAGTACCTTCATATTGAGCTCAAAGCATGGGGACTGATGTCAAAAAAAGTGAATTCCTCTGTGATGGAGCTGTCCTTGGAGACAGTTACAGTTTGCTGTTTGTATGTTCAGATGGACATCTCTTGGAAAAAGAGATCTCTGCAATTGTTTGTAAGCCTGAAATTCAGGATTGGGTAAACAATGGTTCATCAGATAGATTGGGAATTTTGTAAAAGTTTTGTATGATAGTTGGGGGAGCTGGAAGGTCTCTGAAGGATCCAGAGAAAGTTTGGCCAGCGGAGGAGTGGTGGGGTGGTCACACTTTCATAGCAGAGGACAGGAGTAGGCTCAGCCACAAGGAAGAAACCTTTCAGAGCAGAAAGGGAAGTTGTGTACTGGAGCTTTCTGAGATCACTGAGGAAATTTAGGCAAGAGCATACCTAAAAGCTGGGGACTTGGGGAAGAGCAGCGTGTAGATTACAGTCAAATGTAGGCAACCGGTGGGATATCATACATTTCCACGTCAGGTCCTGAAACCCTTCATGAAGAAAAACACCAGAGTGGAGAAGGTTGGGAGTGCTGGACCCTGGGCCAGGCAGGGAGCACCACCAGGGCACCAGGTGGGATGGTGCGGTGCGTTGGTAGCTGTCAGAGGGACAGAACAGAGCCAGCATTGCCCTCAGGTGTTTTTGCGCCAACTCTGCTGGCACAATTGCGTCCAGTTGCTGCACAGAGATGTGTTTGTGCACTAGGAAGGTGAAGGAAAGAGGAGTGTGGTTGATGCTTCCAAAGTATGCAACAAAACCAAAACCATTGCTGGCCAAGGAATATTATCTAAGATGGAAACAACTGTGTGATAAACCCTGGTTTCTGGTTTCTGAAGCATAGCGGTGTTGCTGCTCATTTCTGTCTTTCGTCATCAGCAGTGGGAGACTCCTTGTTTAGGATCATCTGAACAGGGATCTAAAGGGAGCTCTGTGCTGTGGCAACACCAGTGCATGTGAAAATGGGGGCCCTTGCCTGTGAAAAAGACAAGTTTCAGCTTGGCAGCAACAAGCAAGACCTTGCAGATCCTTCCATGTCTGAAGCATGGAAGCTACTGGCAGCATTTATAAGTGTTGACAGAAGTGGTCAGGTTTTACATGAGAGGCCAATAAAATCCTGGCATTTCTCCCATCCCCCCAGAATGGCAAAGATTCAAGCTGTCGTGCGGTGGAGATGGACTTCTAGGTCTGTACAGCTCTGTTACAGTGTGCAGCTGGGGGCACAGCAGGCCCCTGTGAAACCTCACCAGATAGAGAGGGAGAGGAAAGCACTCACTAAGCACAGTGAGTCATACTGATCCTTATTTTCAGGTTAGAGAGGGTATCTCTCTCCTTGTTGTTACTGCCTTCAGGATACTGTGAGGAAACTCATTTGTGATCATTTGTGGGGATCCCTTTAGGGGTTTCCCACACCCTGCATCTCCTGCTTCTTCATCCTACTTAAGTAGGAGGCTTTTAAGCTACCTTCCCAGTCACGTTTCTCTGCTTGCAGCTCCCAATTTTAGAGGAGTTAAAAGTCTGTGTGTACACCTTCAGCCTTCCTGTCCACGCATCCTCCAGGGTCAAAAGCCTTTGCGTTATCCGAGGACAAGTTAAGCTGTGTTGCTCAGTTTGGTTCAACATCTCCTGTAACGATTGCCAGTATGGATGCCTGGTAACAATGAGGAGGGATTTTGCTTGGACACTGAGATCTTGATATTGCCAATATTTGATTCAGTGGACTTTTTCTTTTTTTTTTTTTCCTTGTTTAACTCCCTGTGGCTAGGAGGGAGGGGTGGTGTGTCAAAGACGAGACTTGGAAACAAGATATGTGGGCTGCGTGCGACCCAGAGCCAAGCCTCTGAAAGCCCAGACCCAAGTGCAGCGAGCTGGGGGAGGAACTGCCCTTGATCTCTTTGGGTTTTGAAGCAGATGTCTGAGGGTGAGATCTGCAGATAGCTCAGCTGCACGCTCAACTCTTGTTGACTTCTATACAGTAGAAGCAGATGCTGAACCTTTCTGCTGAAGCGGGGTTTTGAACTTCCTGTGCTTGTTCCCCTGTGTTGTAACAGTGGAAGAATACCTGTCTTTGGCTAGCAGGTATCAGCCGGATATCAGATACCCCAACATCTGGGAAAACTTGCTGGAATATTTTGGTTGTTCATTAGTGTGGTGCTAAACAAAACTTGTGATTACATGCCTCACTGAAAATAGGAAGTAATTCAAATCCAACCCATGCAGCTGGCTAGGAATACGTCAAAATGAAACGATCATTTTTATATTCACCACGTAAAAACCTAAGGTGTTACATGGCAGGTTGGTTTGATAATGAAATGAAACACGATGAAGCCTTTATTTTGTTTCTGAATGCTGGCATGTTCTTTTCCAGTACCTGCAGGGAGTAACAAGCAGTTGAAATAAAGTTCGGCTAACTTCTCTTTTTTGTTTCTTTGGACCTTGTACTTACTATTCTTTGCCCATTTCAGTCACGCTGGTATGAGGAAAATGCAGAGAAAGTGATGCCCTGCGTTCTTGTGTGCAGAAGTAACTCTGTTTTGCAACGTGTGTTGGCAGTGTTCGTACATCCCTCCCTGCGCAAGAGATGATCAGGAGAACTCGGAGAACGTCACGTACAAGCAGAAATACTGGAAAGAGAAAGTGGGTTCGCAACCATTTACATGCTATTTTAACCAACACTTGAGGTGAGTAATCTACATTTGCATAGGCAGAAGTGCTCATGCATCTGTTTAACAGCTGCCCATTGGTTCTGTTTGAAAAAATACATAAATGCATGCATATCTAGATACACACACCCATATAGTGATGTGGTTTATCACACAGAATTTAGTGCAGAACTTTGCAACACAACTCTATTGATGAAAAGCTACACAGAAAGTGGAAAAATGTTTTTATCACTTGAAGTAAAAACATAAAACTGTGAGGAAAGTTTCCCTTAAAACCTGTAATTTTATGCCAAAAAGCATCTTGGCTTCTAATACTCGGATGGCAAATTTCTGGCTTGGATACCAACATTCCTTCCCTCCATGGAAGAGAAATCCTACTGTGTTCATGAGGGGCTGGAAGAAAAGGGGAGACCAACAAACAGTACAAACCAGCTCAGGAATTGTGTTCACGGAGGATTAATGAATCAGATACGTGTAATAAACATTTGCAGAACTGCCAGTTTTCATACATACTTGCAGAGTGGAAAGCGGTACCTTAAAGCATCTCCTCCTCCGTTTCAGTTCTTACTCTTACTATCAATGTTGACGTGACTTACATGTGTATAAGGGTGATGTGTGGTTTCCTTCCTTCAGTAAACGGGAAGAGGAGCGAGTCCTTTTGCCTGTCTCGTTCCGATGATGATGTGCCAGGAAATAAAAGGTGATGTGGAGGCAGCAACTTACTGTTACTGCAGTGTGCAGGCTCGCTGGGAGGACTTGGGAGAACAGCGATGACTGGGATGATAGGTCCATGTAGACAGGGAGGCGGAAAGAGAATATTTAAAATCTCCAGACCAACCAAAGTTTTACGGGGTTTGGACCTCGATTCTGGAGGCGTATGACACTTGCTTAATTTGTTCAGCATGAGTAAGTTTTGTAGAGCTGGGGAGACTGTTCTTCGTTGCTAAGTTAACAGGGACTAAAGGAGGAGATTTGTCCTACCCCAACAGCACTTGGAGGTTAAACAGATAAGGGAGACTTAGGTGGGAATAGCTCGGTGCTTGCTGGTGCAATTCAGAGGTCAATGTGGGAGTGTTGGCATCAGATATTTGGGTTTATTAAGACACACAGGAGGAAAATGGATGCCAGTGTGTGCTAGGACCTTGAAGGAACTGGGGAGCTGGAGCAGGGTGGCAGGCACAGAGATGCCCAACTCTCCTGTGAGTGCCTTGGGGACTTCAGGTTTGTCCCAGGCTGGCTGTGATTGCAGTGATTGCTGTCCCCTCCCTGGAGAGACTGTAGACTTCATTAGTGTGCCCAGGATGACAGTCTGTTGTCCCTGATTAATTCTTTGCAGCGAGGAACCACCAATGCTTTGTAGCAAAAACTACTTTCTTATAGTGGGGAAAGAAGCACTGTCTACAGCATGCAGAGGTTAAAACGTAGGGCACCCTGTGTGGTGACATCAGACCTGGCAGGGACCTTCTTGGGAGCTGCCTTGGTCCACAAGTTGCCAATGCTTGGGTCTGCTATCTGGGAGCCGAGTAATGTTTTTGGCTTTGCTGGGCAGGCAGGTGCTGCCAGTTCCCTGCACTGCTGAGACCTGGGACCTGCAGCAGCTGCTGCCTGAGTGAGCAGGCTGGTCAGCAAATGGGATCTCCTACAGGAGACGTCATGGCTAGGATTCCTCTGAGCTGGAGTGGGCAAGATGATGTGAAAGGTAGCTTTGATAGTCGGTGGAGAGAGATAGGAGCCTTTCATCTTACCCCAAAATAAATACCTAATATAGGTCGGATGCCCAGAGATGTTTATTGCTCTCCTGTAAAGGAGCTCAGGGTGGATCTGCTCGGGTGCAGGCACCTAGGTGGTAGGTGTCCAGAGCTAGGTAAGCTGGTTCTCACATCACATCTGTAGGCAAAATCTTCTGAGGCTGCATACTGCATTAGGGTCTGCTATTCATGTAGGTTGACACTGAGGAATTGTGCAGCAGTCAGGCAAGATTTTTTCCTTATAATTTCTGCATCCTATACTGTTAAATGTTCTTGCCAAACGCAGCCTTGAAACGCTGCCTTTTGCTGATCGTACAACGATTTATATACAGCAGAAGAGAGGCTCGCTGACAGAGATACTTGAAGTTATTCTAAGCTGAAATGTGTACACCATCTATTTTCTTCTGGAGATAGGAATGAGCTTTGAGAGATAAGTTTTGCTGACTAGGAATGTGCTTGCTTAGGTATAGAGCTATGATGACTAAACACGTTGTGAAGCAGTAAAAAAAAATACAGGCTGAAAGAAAAATCTGTTCACTTTGAAATAGAAGCATGCATATTTTCTGTCAGTATTTTTTTAATTGTGTGGATGAGCTAACTCTTTTGTGTCAGTCTGTATAAAACATATAGAATATAGTGGTAGATTCCTTAGAGAGAGTAGTATTTGCAATATTAATACCCTCTCTTTTGAGACTGCAGAATAAAATTCTAGGTAAATATTGTAGGCAACAAATGAACATAGTCTCCTCTTCAAACTTAATTTAGCATCGTTCTCAGAAGTGTTCCTGCATGCAGAGTTCACTCTTAGGTAGCATCTCCCTTTCAGTTTGGTGGGGCATGTTTCAACAGGCTGCTTTGAAAAGAAGAAGAAAGTGATGCCATTTGTACAGTTTGAAGTTATACAAAAGGCGTGAGAAGCAGACTTGGCAATTTCAGTCATTCTCAGTTAACATAAATAGAGAGGCCCAGCATGACTAGATGCCTGACGTTTATCTTATGGAACCAAAGCATAGCTTAGCTTGGAGCTCAGCGCTTTACTGAAAAGCGAGGTTTTGCTTTGCCACCGTAGGCACTCACCTTTAGCGTCCCACTCTTCTCTGGCTAGCTTTGGGCCAGGTGGTGCAAGCTGCATGGGAAAGTTGCTTTTCTGGACTGCTGGTGAAGGTGCCTGTCTGTTGGTATGATGGTCCTCTGGTCTGTAGGGAGCTCTGCCCAGCAGAAACCAACCCCCAGTGTTTCAGAGCACAAAATAAATGACAAATTCAGATGAAGTTCTTGGGCTGTTGCCAAAGGTTTGAGAAGGCACTGAGCTCTGGTGCTTTGGTGTTCATGGATCTCACAGCATGTGTTCCAAGAGGTCTGCAGTCATGACCACATGCAGGCAAAGGTCACAGCTGCATGCCCTAAAGTGGCAGGCCTGTGGGAATGGGTGGGATGGGGGAGATCCTGTCACTTTATTTCTTCATGTTCCAGGTTTCATTGACATCAACAACAAGAAAAACACAGAGAAACCAAGATCTCCATCAGCTCGGACCCCTCGGTCTCGTGTCATGCAAAGATAGGCAGAGCAACACATGTCAAGTCATTCCTTATTAGTGGCTCGTTTGTGTGGCATTATTGTTTTTTAGCTCTGGGTTCATCCAGGATGGTAAGAATGCTCTGTGGTTCCTTTGCCACAGCACGGCCGATGAGCCAGCCGCACTTTATATTTCTCCGTGTTGCTGCAGGACGCTGTACACAAATTCACCTGTGATTTGAAGAGCAAACACTGTATAGAGATTGGCAACCACCTGTATGGTGTTGAGGTACTCTGCAGGACATTTATCTGGGAATGATTATCTGCAGAAGCCAAGGGGGCTCAGGTAGCAGGGCTGCTCGTTCATAAATGGTGGAAGAGAAATCTCAGTTTTCTCTGGTACTTCACAGGGTTTTCTGAATTATCAGAAGATGGTGTTGCTATTTCCTATCCTTTCTTTTACTGTATCACCTGTGGAGCAGTGCTTGGGCCCGAAAGGGAAAGCGCTTTCCTGTTAGTAATACATAGCACTGCCTCTGTGTGCAGTCGTCCAGCTGAGGAGCTCTGCGTCTTGCAACAATAGTGGAAAAAACTACTGATGAGTGCTTCATAGTGAAGGGATGAGAATAATTGTGGGCAAAATAAGAGATTGCAAACATCTTTAAATCCAGATTGATTATGAAAAATTTGTGTAAGCTTTCCCTATCCCATGCCTCTGCCTCTGTCAGGTTTTGCTGCATCACATGAATTGCATGGTGTGGTGCATAAGCGATAACTGAAATATTTACGTGCCGGTACCTTCTTGGTCCTACATGACTTTTTGGTAACCCCTGCACTGCAGTTCTTCCCATGATGTTCAGTAATTGCTCCGAAGGCTCTGATGGAGGCCTGCTTTATCCAGTGTCTGTCTGAACCGCCTGGCAGCACCTGACAGGGATGTGTTGCATAAAGCAACAACTAATCCAGTTACCCTGGTCAGAGCCCCACGAGGCTCCAGCCCGGAGCTCAAAGTCCTTCTAAAAATAAGTACTGGTCTCACCTTTTAGCAATGAAAACAAAATTCCTCCCTCCTTGTACGTTCAATGAAAGGGAAAGGTGTGTTTTCAGAGTTAAGGTAGAGATTTTTTTTTAGTTTATTCATTCTTCTTTCACCTTGGGGCTGCTGCTGGGCAGTGGTGGTGGTGCTGCGCAGTGGCCAAAACCATTCACAGAAGAACCAGGTTTCAACGCCTGAGCAGGAGTTGAAAGTATTCAATATTTTTCCCCCCTTTTGACCCACTAGGTCTCTCTCTTGCCCCTACCACTGCTTTCTGCACTGATAACTGGTGTTAGGAGTTTGGGTGCATCCCCTCGAGAGGCTTTGCACTTACTGGAGAGCTGAATGGCAGCATCGCTAGAAACAAGAAATGGTCCATAATCGAGCTTGGGGGGAATATGTGCAAACTTTCTGGTAAACATCTTGGAAATGAAGTATTATATGGAAGTCACAGACCAAAGATGGATTTATTAAATGAACTATACTTGCAGGGACAAGGCGATATCTTTAATTATATATGCTGATTTTCACAGGAAAAGAGACAGGTTTCCAGGCATGACATACCTCCTTCGGGTTCGGCATTGCTGCCGCAGCACCAGGGGAGTGATGCTGGGGGGACTTCCAGCAAAGCCGCGTCCTTGTCACGAGAGGGTTTCTTTTCTGTTTCCAAGCCAAACAACAAGCCTTCAGGCTCTGGGAACAGGCAGGTCACCTCCAG